TCGGAGTTCCATTATTAGTTTTTTGAGGAAACTCCATACATTCTTCGATAGTCACTACACCAGTCTGCATTCCCACCAGCAGTGCACGAGTGTTCCTTTTCCTCCACAACCTCTCCAGCACTTCTCGTTTGTTGATTTGTTGATGATAGCCATTCTGAAAAGTGTGAGATGTTACCTCATTGTTGTTTTGATTTGCATCTCTCGGATGATTAGTGACTTTGAGCATGTTTTCATATGTCTCTTGGCTTTCTGAATGTCCTCTTTTGAAAGGTGTCTATTTAGGTCCTTTGCCCATTTTTTGATTGGATTGTTTATCTTCCTTTTGTTGAGTTGTAAGAGTTCCCTATGAATTTTGGAGATTAGGCCCTTATCTTCCAGAGTTTCTGTACCATTTGGCATTCCCACCAGCAGTGAATGAGGGTTCCGGTTGCTCCACCTCCTCATCAGCATTTGGTGTTGTCAGTGTTCTGGATTTGGGGCATTCTAAAAGGTGGGTAGTGGTAGCTCATTAATGTTTTAATTTGCATTTTCCTGATGAGGTATGATGTGGAACATGTTTTCATATGCTTATTTGCCATCTGTATATCTTTTTTGGTGAGATGTTGGTTAATGTCTTTGGCCCATTTTAAAATTGGATTGTTTTTTTCCTTGTTAAATTATAAGAGTTCTTTGGATATTTTGGATAATAGTCCTTTATCAGATGTGTCTTTTGCAAATATTTTCTTCCAGCCTGTGGTTTGTTTTCTCATTCTCTTGGCATTGTCTTTCACAGAGTACTTAATTTTAATGAAGTCTACTTATCAATTCTTTCTTTCATGGAGTCATAGCTCGGCCCAAGGTCATCTAGGTTTTCTCCCATGTTATCATCTAGTTTTTTTGGTTTTCCACTTTACATTTAGGACTATGAAACATTTTGAGTTAACTTTTGTGAAAGATGTAAGGTCTATGTCCAGATTCATTTTCTTTTTGTACATAGATGTCCACTTGTTCCAACACCATTTGTTGAAAAGATTAATTTGCTTCATTAGCATTGCCTTTGCTTCTCAGTCAAAGAAGAATTGACTATATTTATGTGTATCTGCTTCTGGGCTTTTTATTCTGTTCCAGTGTTCTAGTTGCTCATTCTTTCATTAATACTTGATTACTGTAGTTTTATAGTAAGTCTTGAAGTCAGGTAGTGTCAGTCCTCTGACTGTCCTCCTTTAATATTGTGTTGACTATTCTGGGTCTTTTTCCTTTTAAAATAACTTGCTATGAGTTTCACTGGGATTGTCTTGAAGCTGTAAATCAAGTTGGGAAGAACTCGTATTTTGAAAATGTCGAATCTTACTATTTTTGAACATGGAATGTCTTTCCATTTATTTAGTTTTTGTTTGATATCTTTCATCATAGTTTTATAGTTTGTTCATATAACTCTTTAAAATTTTTTTAATTGATTCCAGAGAGAGAATCGTTGATTGGCAGTCTTCTGCATGCCCCACAATGGGATCAAGCCCACAACCCAGGCATATGTCCCTACTGGAAATCTAACCATAACCTCCTGGTTCATAGGTCAACCACTTAGCCACACCAGCTAGGTGCTCATATAACTCTTATACATATTTTGTTAGATTTATACCTAAATATTTCATTTTGGAGGGTGTTAAGATACATGGTTTTGTGTTTTTAATTTCAAATTCCACTTATTCATTGTTGGTATATAGGAACATTATTGACTTTTGATTATTAACCTGTATTTTACAATCTTGCCGTAAGTGCTTATTTTATCTTTATTAGTAGATTTTGGGGGGTGGGGAGACACAGAGAAACATCAATTTGTTATTTCACTTATGCATTCATTGGTTGCTTCTGGTATGTGCCCTACTGGGGATTGAACCCGCAACCTTGGCATAGTGGGACAACTCTAACCAACTGAGTTATTCAGCCAGAGCCTATAAAAGCTTATTAGTTGCAGGAGTTTATTGTTTTCAAGTCTTTAGGATTTCCTACATAAGTGATCATGTCATCTGTGAACAAAGACAGCTATATTTCTTCTCTCCCAATCTGTATACCTTATTTTTCCTTTTTGCTTTGTTTTGTTTATTGAGTTAACTAGAACTTCCAATACGATGTTGCAGCAATTTTCAACCATGTGCTACAAGAATTTTTTTTTAAAGAGGGCACTGCCCTCTTTTCTCTTAGATTGTCAAATTTAAAAAATGATAAAAGCCAATGTAACAAAAGCTGTCTGGTGTAAATGAATAAAAATTATACCTTTTTTTGTCAATTCGGCAAAAACAATATTTTTTTTTTTTTTGGTGTGCCATAGAATTTTAGTAGTTTATGTGTGCCATGAGATGAAAAAGGTTGAAAATCACTATGATGTTGGAATGCAGTAATGAGAGAGGACATCCTTGCTTGTTCCTGTTCTTACAGGGAAAGTTTCAAACTTCTCACCATTGCCTTTTTACTTATTAGTTCCCTAAGCCAAACGTTTGGAGACCAGGGGCCTTGCATCCACTTCCGTCAGCCCAGTCGTGACCATGCAATCGGTTTTTAAAATATGTATGAATGAATGAGTGAATGAATGACTCATGTGGTACCATAAACAGCTAAATAGACTTACTTATAATATCTTCTGAGCAGATGTCAAATCAGGATTAGAGAGGCAGCAGAGGCTGGTGATTAAAAGAAGACTCTGGAGCCACAGGTTGGGGCTACTCTGCTACTTACTTAATAGGTAACCTTAGGTAAGGGATAGCACCTCTCAAAACCTCAGTTTTCTCATATATGAAGTGGGGATAATAATAGGAGCTATTCTACGGGGTGGTTGTGAGGGTTAAATGAGTTGGAGTTAAAAAATAAAAGAATCCTCTTAAAGGAGAAAAAATAAATAATAAGGAAAGAGACGAGAAAGAAAAAGAGAGAGGGGGGCAGAATGGCGGGGGCGGGGGGGAGAAGGGAAGGGAAGGGAAGGGAAAGAAGTGTTGGGCACATGGGTAATAAGTATAGGAGTCAATTGTTGCTCTAAGGCAGTGGTTCCTAATGCTGTGACCCTTTAATACAGTTCCTCATGTTTTGGTGACCCCCAACCATAAAATTATTTTCGTTGCTACTTCCTAACTGTAATTTTCGTACTGTTATGAATCATAATGTAAATATCTGATATGCAGGATGTATTTTCATTGTTACAAATTGAACATAATTAAAGCATAGTGATTAATCACAAAAACAATATGTAATTATATATGTGTTTTCCAATGGTCTTAGGTGACCCCTGTGAAAGGGTCGTTCGACCCCCAAAGGGGTCACGACCCACAGGTTGAGAACCTCTGCTCTAAGGTGTGATGTAGTAGTTTTGACTTGAAGAGTAATTGAACCTTTGCTTCAGGTATGAAGAGAGAGAAGTTCAATTCCAGGGAGATGAAGTTCAACCCCTGAGCCTGAGAACCAGTGATTTCAGTCAAAAATGGTTGCTCAGCACTGATGTGGAGTTGTAAAATCAACCCTGACCAGCAAACTTGCATAGTACAGATCTGATTAGAATGAGAACTTTTGGATTTGTGAGGAACTGTGTGTTCTTTGTGGAAGAAGTTGGAAGAAAGACACAGCTGGGTGAATCTCCTGAGAACAATGAGTCACTTTCCCAGATATGTCCTGCTGTTGCAGTCTCATGGAGCACTGCCACGAGTCCTGTGCTGGGTGGGGCAGCGCAGTGGTTAAGGGTCCTACACTGTAATGGATCCTTGCTAAAGTGCTATAGTTTGACCTTGGGCAAGTGACATATGCTTTCCCAGCCTTGATGTCCATCTCTGCAAAATGAAGAAAAGATCAAGTTACTGCATCAGGCTTGTTTATGAGCTTTGAACTAGTAAAACATCTTACACGGTTCTTGGCACTTAATAAATGTGCATTAAATCAGCAGTTGCCAACCTTTTGGACCTCACGGACCACCAGTTGGTGAACGCTGCTCCAAAGGTTTCCTTAAACCAGCGGTCACCAACCTTTCGGACCTCACTGACCAACCACCAGTGGTCTGTGGACTACCGGTTGGCGACTGCTACATTAAATATTAGCTGTGCTACTATGTTGTAATTACTATTGTGTTAGGTTCTGCTTTGGAAAATTGCTGGTCTGGTACTCCATGAATATCTCTGATGCAGACAACTCTATAGCAAAGTACAGCATATCATCCTGGTGAATTCTCAAGAAGATAATCGTCATTTCATTAACCCGATTAGAAATAATGTTTCATGTATTCATTCAGCAAATATTTATAGAGCTTCTACTCTGTGCCAAGCACTGTTTTAAGCTTCAAGGACAGAAGACAAGACAGACCCTGTTCCTGCATTCCTTGAGTGCAAAGCCTGGTAGGGAGAGACAGACTAGAAATAAATAGTATGTATCAAAGGTGATTGGTAGAGTCACAAAGAAACTTGGTAATGCTATGAAGAAGGTCAGGACACATCGATATATGTGTGGTGGGAGGAACACCTTAGCAGGATCAGTAAGGGCTCGTCTGAGGAGGTGACATTGACCTGCTACTTGAAGTATTTAAAGGAGCCAGCCATGCAAATAGTTGTAAAAAACAAGTGCCTGGCAGTTAGAAAAGCAAAGTCCTTGGGGGTAGGAACAAGTTTGGCAAGTTGGACGAACAGAGTAGCCTAGCATGGCTCAACTTGGACGAATAAAGGTGAGAATATGGTAGAAGGGATTTGTAGGCTCTGAGTTTGCTTCCTGAAACCTCTACTTTCTTCCGTCCCTGGGATTGTTTGGAGGGAAAGGAAGGACTGTGGGGAACTGACTTTGGCATCTAGAAAAAGGTGTAGGGCAGAGGTCAGCAAGCTGCGGCTTGCGAGCCACATATGGCTTTTTGGCCCCTTGAGTGTGGCTCTTCCATGAAGTACCGACTTCTGCGCATGGGCCACGAAGTTTCAGTCGCACTGTACATGCGTGCCTGCATGTGGTATTTTGTGGAAGAGCCACACTCAAGGGGCCAAAGAGCCGTATGTGGCTCGCGAGCTGCAGTTTGATGACCACTGGTGTAGGGGGCCCAAAGCCTTGGTCCCTGCCTTGCTCTTATCAGCCTTTTCAAGGTCCTTAACCCAGGGACTGCAGGTTGTTTAAATAAGAGACCCTTCCCTCCATGGCTGGGTTCTCTGACTTCTCAGCCAAGACTGTGGTTTGCATTTTTTGTCGCAAAGGTGGCCAAGCTGTGCTGTCACGCGAAGCCTTGATGTCCTACACCCAAAGCCCACTTTCTTCTTCCCCAAAAATAGGGCAGTTGAAAGCTAGCTGCCCTGGAGAAGTGCCAAATAGCAGCTCAGCCAAAGCTAGCCTTCCTCTTGAGGGTGTGAGGCATTAATAAGCTCTTTTCTTTATGCCTAAGGTGAGGACGGTGTTAAAGCACCAGGGCTTGGTGGAGTAGAGCAGCAGGTAGGAGCCTAGACTCTGGGTTTTAGATCTGGTTTCACTACGTACCACCTGTGTAACCTTGGACAGATAACTTAC